TCAATTCCCTGTCGATTTTGATTTCATCACGCTTTCCCCACCTAAAGTAGCACTGCTTCGGAATTTATGCATTTTGAGTTTACTGCTTTTTCGGCCTTCTGACGCATGTTTAGTATTTTTTAAAGTGCTAGTCTGTCTTAAAGAAAATATTTGGCATTTTGGGGCGCCGTCTCGCTTGCGCTTCTTTAGGCTAACTTTTGCCTCCCTCTAACTGAAGTTTACATGCCCGTCCATTACTCGCATTTGTGCGTTTACGAGCGATTCTGGCATTTTACTTTAAAATTAAGGAGACTGCCATCCTTTCCTCCAACCCTCTGAGTTAGCTGTTAAATTGCCTTAGTATAAACTAGTGCAAGATCGTGGAAGGCAAGGAATGAGGAACTATAGGGCTGACTATTCAATGTTTTTAAATTTACATTTTACTATACAGAAATGCCTGTTGCAGCAAGGTGACAGTATTCATCTGGAATGCCGTGTGACACCAATCAATGACTCAAAATTGACCGTTCACTGGCTCCGGGATGGAAAGCCATTGCCAGAGGCCTCACGTTTCAAGCCAACCTCCGAATTTGGCTTCGTCACTTTGGATATTTTGTATGCGTATCCAGAAGATAGCGGTGTTTACGAGTGTGTTGTCGTTAATGACAAAGGCGAAGCATCCACCAAAACTCATGTCACAGTAAATCTTATATTTTTTCCAGCGTTTTTCCTGCCTTAGGAATTTTCACTGATGTACCTCGTTCATGTTTCATTGTGCATGAGAAGCGAAGGCATCCGAATTGCAGCACTTTGCTAACAGCAGCTGTAAAATTCCCAATTTGTTTTATCAAAACTAACTTTCAAAAATGCACCTATAGACTGAACTAAAATTCCTATTATATCAATAGCCAGAGCATAATCGATTAATTCAAATTTAGGTGCTGCCCAAATCAGGCTTGGAATTTGCTCCACAAGCGCCAGGAGCTGATCTGGAATACTTGGAAAAGCACATACGTCAGCATACTCGAGCACCGCTGGCACTCAGTAAAGTGGATGCCTATAGTGAGGCAGCAAAGCAACCTCCAATGTTCAAATCGGAGCTAACAAATGTCGGTGTTGAGGAGGGTGATTATTGCCGCTTTGAAGCACAAATTGCACCGGTGAA